ATTGTTTGAGAGAGATTTTTTGAAGAAGAATTGATTTTGAATAGTGTATGATGGGAAATGTGTGGTTGAAAAAGAAGAAAAAATTATTGATGTGATGGAAAATATTATTTTATTGAAAAATTTGTGGTTGAAAATGAGAATTGATTTACTGTAAAAAATGAAAATCTGTACCAAACAGACCCATAAATTAGCAACTTCGAAAATTCAAAGCCTCAGTAGTGACAATCGACCAACTGAAAGAAGTAAAACAGTCTTGAACCATACTTCAAGACTTTTGAAGTCCTAACAAAAATTTCAAATCACCAAACTCACATCCCTGTAAATGCTTTCTTGCCGAGACCAGACGAGCCAGCTGGTATCACCTTAAGAACATTGAATCTAACCGTTTTTGATAAAGGCCTGCAAAGTAATTCACATCATAAAACAAATTTCCAGAACAGAGTCGTAAAAAAGTTAAATAAATATGCTTTTGTACTTACCTGCACTGGCCAATAGTAACGTGATCGCCCTCTCTCACACGGAAGCATGGGGATATGTGTGCTGGAATGTTTGAATGCCTCTTTTCGTATCTGGAAATGAATCAATATTTAACCATAACAATACAAACGTAACACGGAGAGAAAACAGTACTAAAAAGGCATCAGATCATACCTCCGGTACTTCTTAACCCAATGCAAGTAGTTACGACGAACAATGATTGTTCTCATCATCTTGGCACTGTGGCATGTCCCAGCAAGAATACGGCCTCTGATGGACACATCGCCTGTGAAGGGACATTTCTTGTCGATATATGTGCCTGAAGGGACAGAAAAGAACTGGTGCTAATAGGATATTCATTAGGTTAGACGGATATTGATAAAACTATCAAAGATAATCGTGCAGTAGGATAACATGTAGAAATTACAGACTAACACCTCCCAGTCAAGGACCAACCCGCAATTATAGAAAACAAGATAATTATTTGATCGATTCAACTGCATGACATTCCAGGGAATTCAATTTCTTAACCTAGCATAAGGGCTGCACTTTAAATACGTGTGCACCCACTTATTTTAACAATTTAAATGAATCAAACTAAATTAAATTAAATTAACGGATCGCATTTCATGGTGCCCACAACTTTTTATCAACTTTTCAACCTCATATTTTACGAACTTTTATCAATATAAAGCTAAAAATCTGATTTTTAGTTAAACCAAACAAGGGTTAATATAAAAGGTCATACTTGGTGTGCACTAGGCACAAGCTTATTAAGTATCTGCCACGGCCTAAATAAGTTTAGACTCAGTAGGTAAATAGAAAAGGTCGAGTATATTTTAGAACAATAGTCGTTCTCTCCTAGAAAGAATTTTTTTCCATAAAAACATCGTCCATTAACTAACTAATAACAAGTATAAATTAAGGTCTTATTCCGACTCAGAGCAAAAAGGACAATATACAGGATGGGGTAGAAAGTTTTGCTGGATTCATGGAACTACAGAATTAACTTAAAATAGTTTCTAAACCAGCTTAGAAGTGAAACACTTAAACATTGTATTTCAGCACAATAGTAACTTACTTGATTTCTCTTTAAACCCAAAGATTAACTAAAGAACATGTATATACATTTATTTGAAATTGTATTACATGATCATAAAGTTTACCAATTTGTAAATGAATTAAATGATCAGATGCAATAATTTTATCAGATAAGCAGGCAAATACATGCCCCAGAAACAATTATTTCACGATCCAGAATTCAAAAGGGAAACCTTTGGTTATAGATGATACACATCTCATTTAATAACAGTTTTACCATAAATCTGTATGAATAAACGGATAAATTTCAACCTTCAATAGCCTCGCGAGGAGTCTTGAATCCTAGCCCAACGCTTTTCCAGTATCGGTTGCCTCCCTTTCCTGGCCTCTTTCCCTTTCCTGTCTTCTTCGAGCTGCAAATTTCCGCTTTACTCTCAAATCACACTTAACACAAGGCTATAAAGTAAAAGCATATCACAAATTGTGATAAAGGTATACATTCTCTTACCAAAGGAAAACCTTGGGCTGTTTCAAGAACGCCTTCTCTGTCTGCAATTCAATTACCAGTCAGGATCATCCAGACCACCACAAATTCCACGGAGACGCATAAACACGACAAAAATATACATAAACATATAAAAAATTTACATATATTTTACCTGTTCCGCCATGGTCGAGTAGTGCTAGAGTGTGTGCTTGTGTGTGTTCAGAAATTGACGAGGCGAAAAACCCTAGCGCAAAACAGCGGATAGATGAAGGCCAAAGATTTTATATTACACTCTCTATCAAAGTAATCAAACCCTAAAATAGGCCCGTTATAAGTATCAACGTCCATTGTCCCCAAAGGCCAATATAATTGTAGGTCCATTAAGAGCTTAAAAGGGTTACTTAGGCCCGTTTGATATACAACATTTTCCATGGAAATTTTTTTATATTTTCCAACTTTTGTAATATTTGATAAAAAAAAGTTTCGATCATTTTTTCTCATATGTGCACATTTTCCAATTTTTTGTTGAAATTGTTTTCCCACATTTTAGGTGGGATTTTATTTTCCACTTTTTTTTTTTTTGGGTACTTGGAAAAAATTCTAGATCTAATAGTAAAAAAATTTATACTTTTATTGACAATTTTCATGCAAAATAAAGCCAAACGAACAGTATTCGGTATGGTAATTTTTTTATTTTTTATTTTTGCAAGTGAAACAAATTCTAGACACAATGGTAAAAGAACTTATCACTTTAATGGACAATTTCCTTAAAAAACAAAGTCAAACGGATACCAAACTTTCAACATTTTTTAGGTGAAAAATTATACCAATCAAACACAATTAATTACAATTCCAAGTAAAACAATTTTTAGACAATTCAATTCTCTAAAATTCATTTTCTTTCCACTCATTTTCCACATTTGTCTGGAATTTGTTTTTCATGACATTATTAATTAAGTGTGTTTGATTTGTATAATTTTCCACCCGAAAAATTTTAAATTTTTGGATTTTTTTGTTCACGTTTGACTTTATTTTACATGAAAATTGTCCATTAAAGTGAAATTTTTTTTTTTTTTTTTTTTTTTTTTTTTTAATTTTTTT